TTTCTCTCATTTTAATCTTAAAATGAAAGTGAAAATTTTAAACAATCTATTCCTTAGATAAATTTGAGCATAGCAATAATTATGAAATTCCTAGAATAATATAAATCCATTCAAATTCAAGGCATCTTTCCAACTACAAACAGCTTAACGTCATGAATGATAATAGTGTTATAAGCATAGTTTAATAGGTTTAATAATGTTCGTAACAGGACAGAAAGCTATAAGAACAAGATCAAAATACAAGATGCTACATGAAATGTAGTGGGCGGATAAATACCGTTATTTTCAAAAACGAAATCATCAAGAAGAATGGTATCATAAATGCTAACTAAGAAATCAAAGGGAAAAATTAACAAATCAACAATTACGTAATCAAGCCATATAATTGAGATATAGTTAACCCCATAAGTGAATTTCGGTAATCATTAGTTTACCACAGGAATGAGAATTTTGCCGCACTACTTTTCTGTTGACATACTTAAGATGGAAGGCGATTGATGACAATGTTTTTGGTTATGTGGAGTGAAAAACAGTGTTCTTTACTTTTGAACCATTTTGAATACTTTTTTGATGTTTATCCAATGTTCACCATTTATTCAGTTTATAGTGATTGCACTTGTGAATTACTTACTTCGCTGCAAACATGTTCAATACATTTTGAAGAAAACACTTATAGATACCCCACTCGCAGTCTTAATAAGATATTTACTACCACAATTACATATAAATTCATGAATATTATTGAGGTTGTTGTCGAAAAGGTACTAATTCTATTCTAATCAGTTTAAAGAGGATCCGATATTGTATATTGAAACCAGTTTAACTGTAGTAGAATACCCATTTGTTAATATTTTATTTCTCATCCTCTTTGTTTGTTCGTATAATTGGTTACTAAATACACCTTTCTGACGAGTCCTAACTGTAAGTGAAACCTAGTTCTAGGATTTCGTGATAAATACCTTCAACTAGCTTACATTAATACATGATGAGCACAATGTTTAGTTACCTTGACTACTGAGCATATTGCAACTTGATCGATTGACTTCAAACTACACTAAGGAATTGATAAATATGACATTAATCACTACTTAATGAATAGTCAGTATGAATTCAAAGAATATTAAGCAACCAAAATTCAAAAAGAATAGTAAAGATAATGAACACATATTGTTTATATTATGGACATCTCTGGGAAATTTTATCTTTCACTGTTATGGATACTGTAAGACACAGACTAGTAGTTTTTATGAATGTCCTTAAAAACTGAGGTTTGTGGATTTTAATAACTTACTTATTTCGTGATTTCAGTTAATTCGTTCCATTTGGTTTATCTAAGAACCAAAATACTTATTCGTTGTAACCTGGTTTTAATTAATGTAGTGTAAGTAATAGTGTCAACTTTTAAACATAAAAAAGCCTATTGATCTGTCAAAAAACCTAAATAACTCTTTCCATTCACAAATATAATGATCAGTTACTTTTATCAAACAACAAACATGTTTGTTCTACTGTTGTTTCCAGTATTAAAATTTAAACTAACTGATTTAAAACTTTTTAATTGAGATCATGAATCGATTGATGTTAGACCACCATTGAAAATCTGGAAGCACTCAACCGCCGTTTCGTCCTATTATGCCGGCTCAATGGTCTAAAGGTTAAGCGTTCGCGCTCGAGCTCGAAGGTCCTGGATTTGAATTTCATATGCAGATGAGTATTGCTGAGTAGTTCCATACTGGACGAAACGACCGTCCGGTACTTTCAGCTTCTCAATGGTGGTCTAACATCAACTGATTCATGATCTCAACCAAAAACTTAATAATTTCCACAACCCCGTACTGATGATTTAAAAGTAACAGACACGAATTGTGACTGATTAAATGTTCAGGTGTCTACAAAATAGACAACGGATGGAATTAATTTGAAGTCAAATTATTGATCACTGAAGTGATAGTTGTTATTTAATTGATTGTATGAAGAAGTAACAGATAAATCTAGTTAATGAGTTCCTAATAAAATGATATATGAGTCCAGAATTCCACTACGAGTCATAATCCGACTTTAATAATAATGTGTTGCATTTGATTCTGCATATCTTTACAATTGAACTGTGCGATATGGTTTAATTCAATTTTGGTGGAGTTTTGTTCTGCGAGTTAGATGGTTTGGTCATGGACTTTTCATCGTTCTTCTGAACGACATCATCAGCAAAAATTTCAGCTAGAAGCGAAATTCGAACACATTACTTCTACTTGAAGTTTGTGTTGATGATATCGTTCAGAAGAATGATGAAAGCTTCAAAGCTAAACTATCCAGCTAAGAGAACAAAACTCCACCAAAATCATCCACCTAAGCTACAAATCTTCTCCACCATCTCAACATTTAATCCGATTTTGTTTTAATTTACAATGTGATCTTTTAATTAATTTACTTAATCTGCACTCCGGTCATAATTATCAATTTGTATCAAAACTTGTATTGACAAACAGATGTATAGACATGAATGTGAATTTATGAAATTGGATTAAGTTTGAAGATTCCAAAGTTTATTATATCTATGATTTCCACTAAGCATACTTTGATGTTAATTGAATAATAAACCAATTTGATAATGAATAGTTTAATAATAATTTCAATAGTTCAGATCATGAGTCAATTGAAGCTAGACCACCATGGAAAACCTGGAAGCACTGGACATCTATTTCTTCCTATCGCAGGACTCTTCAGCAGTGCGCATCCAAATAAACGGCCGTTCAGCGTTTCCAGGTTTTCCATAGTGGTCTAGCTTTAACTGACTCATGATCTCAACTATTGAAATTACCATAATATCCACAAAGAACCTTTCTGAGTTTAATAATAGGGATGAAATTTATAAGAAATATAAATCTGTCCCAGATTTTTGTTCCAATCCCGCGGGGGCGGAATCGTGGATGCACACTGTTGAGGAGTCCCATACTAGAACGAAACGGCCGTTCAGTGCTTCTAGGTTTTCCATGGTGATCTAGCTTCAAATGACTCGTGATTTCAGCTATTCAAGATTTTTGTACTTTTAGTGAAAAATAAAAGTTGAATGAGTTCATCTTCGAAAAAAAGACTTAGATTTCATGGCCTAGTCCTACGTTGTAACTGACTGACTAAGATTTCAAAGTACATACACAACAATCATACATGTATTAAATCAATCAGTCAAGTTCTATTTTGGTTAACATTAGAATTCAGAACATAAGTTTCATTCTAGCTTAAGACTGTTATTTAGATATACCTACTTTCTAGTGTTGATTTTTACTCTGAAGATGTATACATACAAATAAAAACTAGTCTTTTACAGTTATATTAACCATGTTGAAGTGTACATAAATGACCTCACTAGTTGTTTAACAAAATGATGAGACTATAATTTATGGACGACCTTTGGGCAACTTCAAAGTAACCTTAAGAATGTCCATCTAATAATTAGGACTAAATGAACATTATAAACCAGTAGAAATATTTAGAATTATGACTTACGGTTGATGGTTTAGGTTAGAAATTAAATTTAAGGTTAAAATGCCAAAAGGCCATTTAACCAAATGAATGAATGAATGAATTTCGCACCGAAATCCAAATTATAAAACATGGAACTTGTTGAGCTTATAATAGATCCGATTTTATTGATTGAAGTTAAACAATATGCTTAAGAAATTGTTTATACAATACTATAAGGGTCATTTGGCATTTAAGCTTATTTATCATCATTACTATAATCAATAATATAAAGGTATTCTGATGTTTTATTCTGAATAAGATAACTTAAATGAAGGGATATGAATGTGTTTTTATACATGCATAAACATATTGACAGATATTCTGCAGTTAGATACTATATTCATTAATGACTTAAGTGTCTACTAATATTTTACAGTATGAATATTTATATGAGGTAGTTTGAGGAAGTCAACAGTAAGCCCTGAGTTAAAGAACTTCTCTAGTCATTATAAGAGTGCCTGTGTAAATTTCAAACTTACATCACTTAGCTTCACAGTTAGAAACGTTACTACGAAGCTATCTGGGCTTCGATTGACCTTCAGTTGGACGTGAGTGTTTTCAACTGACTGATCACAGTGTATTGACCAATGTCGTATTTCACTGGTCTTTTAGTATTGATCAAATTATATCAATTAAATTATAATATGACACATTAATTCATAAATCAAACTAGGTTAAATAATATTGAAAAAAAAGATCGTAATTTTATTTACGTAACTGTGTTCTAGATACCATTGTACATTAAACACACTTAAAATTGTCACCTTAATAGTATTTGTATTCTGAATTCAGATTATATCCAATTTAGAAATCTGACTGTCTTCAAACAAAAAGAATAGAAACTCTTTGTTTTTTTTAATCTGGAAACAAATCAACTTAGCATAAATAATTAGTTGTGAATTAATAGTTGAGTTCATAAATCGATTGAAGCTAGACTATCATGGAAAACCTAGAAGTATTAGACATTCGTTTCGTCCTAATGTGGGACTCCTCAGTAGTGCGTATCCACGATCCTGCTCGCATGATTCGAACCCAGGACCTATCGGTCTCGTACGCGAACGTCTAACCTTTAGACCATTGAGCTAGCATCCAACGGTCTTAATATCTAACTTCAACCAATCCACGAAATCGCACCACCGTCAACCATTGTCTTCAATGAGTTACTATCTCACAACAGACCTGGTTGAACTCCACTAGTCACTGTTTCTCACTAGAACTCAAGGAAATATCTAATGAAGCCAGTCGCTAGTAAGCATATGATGATTATTACTAGAAAGGGATTTTGTGGAGTTTATAATAATTTAATAGCTGAATTCATGGGTTAATTGAAGTTAGACCACCATGGAAAACCTGGAATCACTGGACGGTCGTTTCATCCAGGTTTCTCCACTAAAACCTCATTGTGATACATATAAATTAATAAGTAAGATTCATTAGATAAATGAAATTTACTCATAATTATATATGATCATACTCACTTTTGATGGGATACGAATTTGGAGGTGATTGTTTTGACTTTCTTAATAATTCTATCCGATCATTCTTGAACGCCGATCTTATTATGGGAAGATACTGATCGGTTTCACGGGTCATTTCGCATAATTTAGAACATATATATATGTATGTAACAATCCCTTTCAAAATTTGCAAATCCAATAAAAAACAAAGACAACTCTCTTACTGGTTCAGAAAATTTCACGATCAGACAGACTAGTTTGAGTTTTTTGTTTGTTTTTTTTAAAAAAAGAAAACATAAAATGGATAGGAAGGAATAGTCTATGTACGAATCACATATTTTTCTAATGATAAGAATGTACAAATTTCATTTGCGGTTTATAATAATCTACATATTTCATTTAAAGTGTTTCACCAGTGGTAACAAACAAAATAGAAGATGGGGAAATGTATGGGTATTTAAAGTAAATGATAAAATTGAACATTATGTCCCCTGATACAATAAAAGGGACAGATGAATTACACAAACATAACTACTATTTTAACATGTTGACGGAGTGGGATGGTGGTGGTGGTGGTGGTGGTGTATACAACTACTATTTCTATTATTAATAAAGCAGGGATAGTCCAAAATGTTAAGTCAATGGACAAATGATGAGACTGATTAAATAAATAAATAAATGAATCAGTTACGGACTCTATGATTCTTTTCTCAAAATGTATATTATGAAACAAGTTTTTTATGGTGAAAGCGATTCACAGTTATGATAATACGATTTATTAAATTACTTGTAGAATAATATTGCACAAGTGTTATGCAAATAAAATGCTTACAGAACTCTTGTTAAACTTAGGTTGCTAATGCTTTCGAGTCAAATTATTGTTGTCGATGTAAACTTCATATTACCAATAAAAATGTTTCTTAATGATCATTCAAAGAGTAAGAACAATATTTGAAGCAAATTGACGTGATTTTGTATTGTTTGTCCAATCGTCGGTTACTTGTTAATGTCTAAAAAGTGAACTAGAATATAATTCTTTTCTTTATAAGCAAATAATCATTTAAACAACGAATGGAATAACAAATAACAGATGATTTTATCGATATTAATATACTAAAATGATTAGACTAGTTGATTTGTAGTAGTGTTAATAGTTGAATTCATGAGCCAATGTAGGCTAGACCAGAAGTGAAAACCTTGAACCACTGAACGGCTGTTTTATCCTAGTATAGGATTCTCTAGAAGTGCACATCCATGATTCTGCACCGGAGGGACTCGAATCCAGAACCTAGGAGTTCGTGCACGAACTATTAACCTCGCGACTACTGAACTGGCACTCAACAGTGTTAGTTATTTTATCATATGCTTTTTTAATAAGATGACTGGATAGTTTTGTCTATTAATTACGTTGAGGAATTCGAAGAGTTTATCTTCTATGGAATAAGTTATATCTAATATCTGTGAACTATAATTATCGAAAAAAAAGCCCTGAAATATGTTTGCTTTCCTATCTTTAAAAACTGTACACAACAATTAATTGAAATTCATCTAATATGTAAATAGAAAAGAAGTACAATGAATTCTATTCATTCATTTATTGAATAAATCATTCAAATAATCTGATCACTGTATATGTTCTACTGAATTTCAAATTCAATTCTTTATTCATTATCTACATGATATGATTACATCATAGTTCCATGCGAATAGATAGTGATAGATTTTTATGAAATTGATTATGTAAATGTATGTAAAAAGCATTCATATAGAAAGATGACATATCATTACCCTTCTCTTTCATGTTCGAATAATTGAAGGAGTTAGGATGTAATTTTATTCAATCTTTTCAAGGTTCACTAACTTTTTCGATGGTAGCATTCCATAAAAAAACAATCAGAAGGAATAATTTGACTTTGTTCTAGGTCTTTATTATATAGATTGACTTTTTTATTATTTGATGAGCTACAGAGTATTTACATCTTATCAGGTTAGGATGAACGTTAATAATTATGGGGTGTACTTTGAAATTGGAAACACGATATAAGTCGTTTTCAGCCCCCACCATTTAAGACTAGTCGTTAATAATAGTTGAGATGTTCATATACGAAAATAAAAGTTGTCTATAGTGTTGTAATGACATCTAACAGACAAGATGAACTGTGTGATCCATAGATTTTCAATCACTTACTTAGTTTGATCTTAGTTTCATATCCATGCGTATACTACTATGTTGTAGCAAAAGTGTATAAGTGAGACAATGTGTATTTTGACAATGAAGTGATAATTATTAACTAAGTGTTATCATCTTCAAACACTTTCTCCAGTCATCTAAATAAATTAAGTAAATATCATTTCAGTAGCTATCTGATCAAGTAATGTTCTCTTGTTATTGCCACAAGGTCTTGTAGTGACTCACATTTATCACGAGAACACGACTGGTTTAATAAAAACAACTATTATTATAACCAACTGTACCAGTGTTTGTTTTAATGTGCTTTTGTTTAACTGTGCTAATGGCAGCTATATTATGCTTCCATTATTATCCACACACTTCGATTGTGACATCGCGCGAATTCGGTTACGTTCTGTAACCAAGATTGTATCCTGACACGATCTCGGTATCTTTCGATACCACGAGATCGCCAGCAAATATATCTCGACTTAGTCCATTAACTGCCTTCTGATATTTGACTTCCGGGGGATTTTATGGATTTATTCTGGCACGCGTTCCTTTGTAGCGGTGTTCATAGTCTATCGCGACTCGACGCCACGCAACAACTGGTGAGCCGAATTCTGGAACACGCCGCAACCTCTGGTCGAATCTTCCAAAGAAGCCAATTCGGTTAGTCTATTATTTATCTATCCACGTCTGTCGTATATTTTCATATTATTTTTTAATATATAATATACGCGACATGATGGATAACGATAAGAATAGTATTAATATAATAGACTCCCATGTACGTGTACCGAATCCTTGTCACTTTTTATTCGCTTGATGGTAAATTCCGCGCTTTATTCGAGAAATTTTCCCCTATTAACTATTCTCCTCGCTGACCCGGCTGCTTGGTACGGAATGCATACGCATACGCATTACCGTCTACCACCCAGCATCAAATGGTTAAGTTAAACGGTTTCATTGCCAACTTAAAAGTGCACACGAAAACGACAACTGGTATGAAACCTTACCGCTCGTCCTCTTAGGCATCAGAACGAGCTTGAACGCAGATATACAATGTTCCGCCGCTGAACTTGTATACGGCACGACATTGCGTCTGCCCAGAGAATTCTTCACACCACGGAGCAGACCTAATTTCGGTAAATCAGACTACGTCCATCGACTGTCTGCATTTATGCGAACGCTGTCTCCGGTGTCAACTCGAATACAACATCGACAGGTCGCTCTCCCTCGAGAGTTATTTACCTGTTCACATGTTTTCATACGAGTAGATTCGGTATGCAAACCTTTGCAACAACCTTACGAAGGTCCTTTTCACGTGATCGCTCGTCACGAAAAGACCTTCAAGGTTGATGGACATGGCCGCGTCGAGATCGTCAGTATTGATCGTCTCAAACCAGCACACGTCGATGACAGTGCCCTATCTGATACCCTGAGATTCAATGCTAGACCTATCAAACCTAGCAGGAACTTGGTTTCGTCCTACGTCTGCAACGTTTCTGGTCCGGACCCATAAGAACGCAATCTTCAGATTCTGGATACAAACCACTCTGGTGTGGCATGCCAACTCAAGTAACAAATACAGCACATCGCTCCTGGTACCGTTCTCCGTAAACGACTTTCGTTGGCAACTCAACGATCAACGATCGCTTTCCTGTTTCGCCAATCTTTCCGTCTCACAATCGCTCGTCAGCCGATCAGTCCCACGATTCAAACAGCTATTTATCGAAAGTGTAAACTCTTTCTAGCGGGGGGCTCCTGTAGTGACTCACATTTATCACGAGAACACGACTGGTTTAATAAAAACAATTATTATAATCAACTGTACCAGTGTTTGTTTTAATGTGCTTTTGTTTAACTGTGCTAATTATAGCCATTTTGTGCTTTCATTACCTTCCATCATTGTTCCACGGTTTTTGGTACTGTTCGCACGTACTCCTTTCTCCTGCTTCCACTTGTACCATTCCTTGGCACGATCTCGGTATTCGTTCAATACCACGAGATCGCCAACGAAATAAATCTGGTTACGCTCAACCTTCGCCTTCTGATATACTTGGCACAAGTTTCTTGGTAGCGGTGTTCATAGTAATCTCAACTAGACGCCACGCTACAGTCTCAAGAACGGGAAGGAACTGAATTTTGAAATTCGGTCAGATAATATAGGATAGTAGTAGAGTGCTAGACTATTGGTTTATCATGAATTCATAAGTAGAGAGTACTACTGATTACATGTAACTCCATACTTTTATACATTTACCAAACATGCTATAAAGTAGAATCAGGTTTTGAATCCAGTTAAAGAATATGCCTTTAAAATCAACGCAAGTGTTAGTAAAAATATGCTACGAAAGAAGCTCACCACTTACATTATATATATCACTTACGAATTAGATAGGCATTATTAATAATATTGAATTTCAAATATTTAGTTGTCAAGGCGACTAGACTTCAATTTTTTTAGGTGGTGATTTGAAAAGAAATCATACTCTATAAACTATAGCAACACTACTACGACTAATTTCTATTACGGCTGATTTTTATCAAACCCTTTTATTAACTTCATTAACAGGGAATGTTATACATATTAATTATAAAACTATAGATCCTTTTATTCTTCTTAAAATTAAAGCAACCACATATTATCTGTTTAGCATAAAAGTTTACAAAAAGATTAAATTAAATTAACCATGTAAACATTTCATCAATAAGTAGGACAGTAAAACAAAAATGGTAAGTTGTGGGTTCTCGCGCACATGCTACAAGTTATCGCGTACTATATATATATATATGTATAGTAGTGAACGAGAACATACATATTTGAATACAAAATTACAGAATGTCTCAGTAAAATCTGAGAATCATACAGTAAATACTTCATTTGCAAAATGTCAATCAATCGTCTCAGACCTCAATGTTCTTTCGTTTCCACACCAATCATTCTTTGTTCTCGTTCTTTTTTTTGATCTTCTTAACATTCTGCCTCCAGGCATTTCACTTTCGATTGATGGCTCATACCACTTATATCTGCCGACATCAGTAGCACACGTCACAATATATATACACATGTTAGAATAGTTTCGAAGTAGAATCCAAAGATAAACAATACTGTTCACTTAATGTTTAATGTTCTAGTTTAAATTACAGGGATTATCACTGATAATTCCTATTTCTCTGGAGATCATTGCTTTCACTCTTGTAATAAAATATACTTCGTATCAGTGAGTAAACCTTCAGGGGAACTAAAAACCTCACCATTGACTAACAATCATTTTAATTTAGTTGGCTAATAATGCCTCTCTTTTTCTTGTCCGAAAAATTATTTTAATGGATAGATAGAGTGGGGATAGCAGAGGTAGAATGGGAGTTTTCTCCGATTTGAGACATGTTAGCTGGTAATATTTCGTCATTATTTAATGCTAAGTGAACGGGAAGTGAATCTTTTTGAACGATTTCATTCTTGTAAATATTAAGAGAAAACAATGTATCATTCTGTGTCGATTCAATTGCAACGATAAGCCTTTAGGAAGTTTTAATTTTGTTTCGTCCCAGAGGGGGCAAGCAAAGGATCATATATAAAAGAACCTTCACGAGGAGAGAAACGATATATATGTAGAACGGACGACTTAATAAGCACAAATTTGTTATTGGCTAAAAGGGGTTCTTTTTATAGGTAGATAATTTGTCAGGATGTTGTGCGTTGAGGTGACGCTTTTTTTTCTTACCTTAACTAATCAAGTTATAACTTAGCATATTGATAGTATTACTCTACTTGACTTTCAAAATATTGTAATTCTTTATATATAATCTTTCCGAGACATTTTGGTAGTACAATATACACTGAATTTATATGATGTAAGTAGTATAAGCTGAAAGTTAAGTAGTCTGATGAATTGGTTAAAAACATACATTTGGAATTTATTTCAATATTAGAAGGTAGAATATCACAGATAACTAATTTCTTATTTGATGTTACGAGAATGAACAAATAAGCGTATGAGTAAATTTGTAATGGTATTTAAAAATGAAATTGTATTGTACATTTATGAAATTCCTAAAACACTCCATCATTGTAATTTTACTGTCAATGTAATGGAAAGAACCCAGAAAGCCCTTTCAAACCATTTTATTATACAAAATTGCTATTAATTTTTTTCCTTTCCTCTGCCTTGTAGTCTAACCTTTGTTCAGGTCTCTTTTAGCCACGCTATGTGCTCTTCGGTTTTCCTTGTATAGGTTTTGATTATTTGACTGTGTCTAGAGATAGAACTTTCAATACTTAATTAAAATGTTGCATGCTGCCGGACTATCGGAAGTAAGGTCGTGTTCGACTAAACTCGATGTCAGTTGATTGTTGTTAACTTTTGACTGCGTTCTAAGAGCGGTTAATGGATTATTTTTTCGATTTTCATGTATCGAACTGTTATTTACGAACTATTCCTTTTCACGTTAAGCACGTTACTTTGTGCTAGAGAAATCTTTGACCGTTTAGCACAGGATGTACTGTTTGAGATATTTCGTATTCTTGATATAATTTGTTTTTTTCTTGAGTTAAAACCGCATAAACTGAGCAAACAGTTTGTGTTTCGATGCAATTCAGTATAAGTCACTCAAAAACAATTGCACGCCATACAGAAGAACGTAGTTCGACTTTCCCGAATAAGCTTCAGTTTCTTAGTTTTGGATTGAAACCGAATATTGGGATTTCAGCCGTTTCGGTCTGCCAGCCAGACCATTCGGATAATTTCTTTGAATCATTCTAAAGCTCTAAACTGTTAACTTCAGTTCTTATCGCTCCCCATATCTTGACATTGTAAACATATAACAGAACCAATGATGATGGGAAACTACGAGAGTGATATATGTCTAGAAGGAACAACACTGGCCCCAATACTGTACCACTAGGCACTCCGCTAAGCACACTTTCCCAGCTAGACAACTTCTAGTCCACCCATAAACTTTGTCGGCGGCCAAGTTGAAAGTTCTATATCCACGTAAATGAATTGCATCCGATCCCACTATCAATTACCTAGATAACAACTTATTGTGAGGAACTTTGTCAAAAGGCTTACCTAAGTCGACGTAGATTGGGTCTATAGGTAACTTTTGATTTTTAAGAGTGCATCAGCTTACACGGATTACTAATAAGCTAGTTTTACATGAATAAATTTCTCTAAAATCATAGTACTTTTCAGAAAGAATCCGTTTTTCGTCTCAAAAATCAGACAACTTCTGAATAATCTTGTCTCAAGTTTTAAAAATCGTGCTGGCTAGGTTTACTGGTCGATAATTACCAGATTTTCATCTCGTACCTGTTTTAAAGACAGAACTTAATATGACGTTCTTCTAGTTTTTCGGTGATCGACTCTTGGTTACAGATGGGTTAAGACACATGTTTGGGGGGTTTGCGCCGAAATTCGCTCATTCCTTTAGTAACCTAGGATGTATTCCATCGACACACTCAGATTTACCTATATCACGCTTATTTAGTAAACCAAGGAGATTGCCTTCTACAATGGTCGCAGTGTCCACTGTGTGTTTGTATGTCAAAGGCTGTATAAAACAAAAAGGAACATCTCTGTGGTATATAAATTGTAGTATATTCTGTCGAACTAATTAAGATGTAACACCAGCTAGAAGTGGAATGGCTCGCATAAGAAAGTTGAGAAGATGGAATTGAAGAGAACGGGAATGTGAGCAATGATTAATCTTAATGGCAATGAAGAAACGATGAAGTTTGAGACAACTGATGAAAGATATGCAAATGAAGTATTTAATGTGTGGTTTTCGCGTTCAATGAAAGGACTCTTTAATTTTGCATTCAATAGTAAATTTGTCCTCCCCACGTGACTTTGCATTCAATACAAAGTTACTTAGGTAGTTTAAGGATACCTGTGCTATGCTATTGACTCAGCTCTATCTTGTCCAATTAAAACTGCAATGCTGCCTCTTCTCTCGATCCTTTATTTTATGTACGATTATATGCGTTTGAGCTATTCTGAAGACTCTATAACAATCTTTTGGTTATGCAGTCTACAAGACTTGAGGATGATGGGTCATCAATATTTCAAGCTTGCTGATGATAGAGTTTTCTCCCATCACTACCTTGTAACACAAGTCTCGTCCACATCCTTCTTTTTTTATAAAGAAAGGCGTGGATCTCCTTGATGAACCACGGTGGAGAGTTTCTCAGCTTCTTTGGAGTAGTTCAAGGGACTTGCTGTGTCAATATCCATCTTATTATGACATACTTCTGTCAGCAATCGAATAGGTTAACACATTAATGAAAGCGAAAGCATCCGTGAGACTCAATATGGCTTAGTAAATTGGATTATCAGCTTCTAACCCTCGAAAAACACGGAATACCTAGACAATTAGCTAAAACCGGAGGCTGTTTGTATATACCGGCAAGCGCCGTAGAGAAATAAGATCGTTGTGTTTGAGATTAGATGGTGATTGGAGGTAGGAAACCCTGGACCTGGGTTTCATGCTACTTGGCACTCGTCAGCAAGGTGTACCTGTAATTTTGTGGGAACTGATGCTCCCTGACGGATTCAATCCCGTCTCACCCAGCTTCACAGTCAGAGACGTTACTGCTGAGCTATCCGAGCCGCGATTGACCTCCTGTAGGACTGAGATGTAATCACAATTGATTGATCACTGGGTGGTGATCAATGTCATGTGTGTCAATTCCTTATTAGTGCAGATCGGATGCTATCGACCATGTTGCCATGCGGCCACCAGTCAATGTGACGACACTGCGTGCACTATGTTGAGATCCGTGTCCAGGGTATCCTATCGACTAGCTCCAATCACCGTTGCAACATGGTCGATAGCATTCAATCTGCACTGATAAGGACATGACCCACATGACATTGATCGCCGCCCAGTGATCAATCAATTATGATCGTTGTGTTTGATATTGGTATGAAAGTTTTATTCTTTAACATCGAGTCTTTCATTCGGATGATGTTGACTATCTTGACCGGTATTCCGTCGATTCGTAGATATGGCTTATTGTTCAGAGAAATATTAAGTTGGAGATGCTATCTTATTACTAGTACCATCGTTTTGCAGACATCGTGGTGAACATTGTTGATGAGCAAATTGTACTGAGCTAGTTATCGGTGTTTATAATTTATCAGGCAATAGATAACCATCCTGTCTCATTACACGTCAGTTCTGGTTTTCATCTCCAACCGAAGCTAGCTGATTTGCCTTCATTTCAGCGTTTTAAAAATAAACTCTACCGATCCCCACACATTTCATATTCCACGACATCTTAAGTCGTTCAAACGGTTCCACATTACGGAATTCAGTGAAGGACAGTCGGCTGAAATTTAATCTCTTCAAATATTCTACAGTGAAGAACTTTCTTCACAAAATGGTCATCTTACATCCTCCCACACCAACTCTCCACGAACACCTACAGATGTTGAGATCTTGGTTTTGCTGATTACATGTACCTTAGAAATCAGTGCCAGTTACCTAGGTGATATGGACAAAGCCTACGTCGTTTTTCCACAAGAAAGCTTGACCCACTCACCGTAAACTGTCCCTAATGTTTAAAACGATAATAGGTCTTAACTTCGCTTCGGAAGGCGGATGTAAATCCTTTGGGAATGCAGAAAGAGGCCTGAAGACTGCGGTTTTCAGGTACAGGTTTCGGTGTATGGATATGCCGGAAGAGCTAGTTCTGTTTACGATGATATACATAGAAGAGATAGACACTTGTCATGATCTTTGATATTTGACACGGTGGAAACTATCCCAACAAAACAGTGAGTAAACAGCTTTCTTCAACACTTCATGTTAATACCCCTTCTTTTACATTCGCCGCCCTATAAATCTACCGTTCATTTTAAAATCATCTTCACTTCAGTTCACAATACTTCATATTGTAGTAGCTGATGATCAACACGGCAATACTTGATGGAGCAATAGCAAATGACCCCAGCCAATTCACTGTCTGCTGAAATAGAAACTTCGATAAGAGTAAATAAAGGTAAGAGGGAGGAACTAGAAAAATACTGAAGTACATATCACAAAGAACAAGCTGAAAAACATTTCACCAGGAGTGACCGAAAATTACATGACTGCTGCTTAACGTTGAAAGGGTTGTACTAAGAAATCTAATGGGCTATACAAACTCGTCATCAAAATATTGAGCGTCGAACATCCCCTTGAAAAAGGTCGTTGGTCGCGGAATTGTAGTAGCTTAATCATGTCTTCTATCGGTAGTGGGGTTTGTCTCTAGCTCTTTACAATTATTTTTTAGTATGACCTTACTGCATCGCAATTCTCTCGAGGCGGAAATGTTTTTCAGATAGAGTATGCCTGTAAGGCTGTCGAAAATAGCGGGCAAGAAATAACGTCATTATTTTACCTATGTTTTTAGTACAGCCATTGCTATCCAAGGTAAAGATTGTGTAGTTTTTGCTGTGGAGAATATTGTCACATCAAAACTTTACGAGCCCGGTTGTGTTAAACGGATTTATAATATTGATGACCATATCGGGATGGTAATTTGTTAGTTACGATGCCCATTCATTCTAGGTGGTGATGGGATTTCAAACTGACGCCAAGGCAATCGTTGAGGCAGCCAGAGAAGAATGCTCAAATTATCGTAATAGCTTTGGAAGCCGTATACCTCTCTATGTATGTTTCCCGTTTGCTATATTTCTTCCTATAGTCTCTGACGGAACGACTGGCTATGTACATGCACGCTCATACACTTTATAGTGCGGTCAGACCGTTCGGTGTATCAGTTTTGCTTGGTTCCTACGAAAATGATGGTCCTCATTTGTTCGTGATAGAGCCTTCCGGGTTGTCTTTTGTAAGTCTACGCCAATATTGTGCCGTAATTTTCTTGTGAAGTGCTGTTTTACTCTGAGGTAGAGTAGTTTTTATTTGAGTAATGGTCGAGACTATAATATTTGAACAAACCGATCAGATCTACAATAACAGGTTAATATATTAACGTCAAGTCATCAGAGATAACTACATGTTTGTGTTTACGGAAAATCTAATATATATACATTCATTATTAGCATTAAATCATTTTCGAATGCTTCGACTAATTCTATTTTCTGAACATAATAGGGCAAATATAGTGTGCTGTTTGCCACTACGTGATGCAAACACAGAGTGAGTAATGCTGAGCTCCTGAGTTAAATATTGATAAAAATAAGTTTGGTAAGGCTCTATCTTCAGTGACCATATCTGGGGATGTTTCATATGCAGTCACCGCATACCCCAATACGCATCTAAGGGTAAGCAGATTTAGACATGCCACCAGGTCGTAAATTGTTAGTCCCCAAGTGCCGAATTCGTCCTCAGAGCCCGTGAAAAAGTGCTTTGTTGATATAGTCTGAAATCAGTCTCAATAACGCGACTACATTCCTTTTGCCTCCTAAATCCAAATTTCAGTGTCCGGTATTTTTGATTCTAAGTTTTTCACCGTTGTTTACTCATGCAGGTCATTATACATCCTGTTTCTTTATATTCTCAGTGCATAGCAAGGCATGTTATGCAATCTTAACGTTTGCTTTATTCACTTTCTGTAGTAATTAAAAATTGTAATTTTAGATGAATACTTATAAAATCCGTACTTTTGTCACACTAATTTTAAACAGCTTAACAATAGTTCTGTTATGAAGTTTTCAAAATCCAATTGATTCTGATAGTCATTGCAAAATTTCCGTCATTCCATTTGATCCATTAGAATTGAATCTCTCATATTTTGAAGTGCATTCTTTTTTAGATCACTACTCACAACATGCTTTTGGTTTTTTATTTCCTCTCACTGCATTGGTGTCAGGTGTGGAAATTTTATCCGATCGACACTCATGCGAGGTTTAGTTTAGTGTTGACTGACTTTCATTTGATTACTCTTCTCAAGAGATCTCTACTCGTCAGGTTGATAACCCCCTAAACAAAAGGACATGTCCAAAGCCAATTATTCCTCTCAAGTTTAAGCTTGGAAACTAAATTATGGTGTTAGACAGATTATTTATAAAGTTTTAACCTCTTCACTTCAAACTAAGATCTCTAAATAGTCTACTTATCTGATACATGTGTAATTTGTTAAATTCCTTTCCATGAACTTCTATATGACGTTGGTTATTGTTTGTCAGCAGTGTTATTATTAACCTCAATGTTGTCATACAACACATCTGATCACTCAGTAGATGCCCTAGTGGCTTCACTATAGTATAGTAAATTTTGATTTAGCTACTTATTATCAAAATAATAGATTTCCTCTATTTTCTAGAATCTATTTATCTTGCAACATTATTGTCTTTACTTTCTTTACATGAAAGGCTTATTTTGGTTGTGCCATCGGAAAAGCCAAACAAAATGCAACAACTGAAATAGAGAAACTGAAGATGAATGATTTGTCTCCTGAAGAATTAATCAAGGAAGCGGCCAAAATGTAGGTCTTCATGACATTTCCCTGTTCATGAGTTCACTGATACTTTGGCGCACGTGTAATTGTTCGAAACGTCTAAGTACTAGTAAATATGCACCGAGCAAACAAAGTCCACTCAGTTTGTAGCCAAGTAAAAGAATGTGAAGTACGTCCGACGTTTCGTAGATAATATGTGCCTCTAGAAGGTTGTTGTGTTACCAACTTGTATCTTCTGACTGTGTGACAGCTGCTCTGAAGAAAGTGTGTAGTGCCAGCCTATATCTGCCTTTTAAGAGACCTTACCTACATACTACGATCGAGGAATTGTCTGTTTGAGATGGCACACAGACTGTTCGCTAAATGATAATCACTAAGAACCACGTAGTAAATGGCGTATATTCGTAAAAAAGATACGAAAGGGTTAAAGTCTGAAAAAAAGTAGAAAGGACCACTAAGATAGTTTATTTCGTTTTCTTTGACTTAAAAAAGGGACAAACGTATCTAACTTTCACATACAGATAATAGAGTTTGCTCAAATTCACATAGCTCCGGCTACTTGTAGAAGACGAAATCGAAGCTCGCTGGAAAGACCAGAAGATATACAGCAAACCAATTTAGAGGTTTTGGTTTTATCGACAGTAACAGATCGTATTTCGTCCGACCCTTTCCTAGCCGCAAAAGATGCTCGTTGGCTAAGTTGGTTAGTAGTTCAGTGTAGCTCAATTCACAGGAGCAGCTGAATTAATAAATGCAACTTGGAGTAGTAAAACCAGCTAACTTGCCCTTTGATTAACCAACCATCACTGGTCGACTAGATAGCATCCTTGAGAGGCCAATCTTGTAGTTTCGATTTTAATAACATACAAATTGACGGGATAGCAGTGAGACCTTTTTAGGTGTTATCTTACCTAATCTCCCTAAACTATTTTAGTAAAGAAGAACTTTTAAGGGAGTTTAACTGTATACCTTCTGTGACTCGTTCACTTGTGAAAAAAGATTGAAGACAAATGGCATTTCCTTGACATTTTATTATACAGAAAAGATAGGTGTATCGGTATTACAGTGCGCTAAGTAGTTTATGTACGTCTCAATACATATTTCTCTACTTTCATACTTATTCCCTGCAAGGGAAACGTAATCAAACGTTTTTCATCAATTGCTGCTTATTACACAAAAGATCATTAAAACGAAAAGGGATATAAAAGTTTTTCCGAATCGACAGGGTCGGACCACTGAACTCTGACTTAAAGCTATTGCAGTTTCCTAAGGCCTGGGGCTTCGTTCGATGCAATGCCTTTGGTGTGCATTGCTTGATTTCAAACTAGGAGTGTCGTTTGTATATGAATGCGTGTATGAGTTGCGGATTATTGGCCAAACATATTTACAGCCAAAACGATAATAGATAACGACAGATAACTGACACTCAAGATCACACCCAGAAGAAAATATAGATAACTAACTACATTTATGAATTACAGTGAAGTTAATAGTTGAAGACAGCGACGTTTATTTGACACCTGTCAATGAAAAGATGGATATGTTCACAGAGTTGGGAAGGGCTAGCGGCAGGTCTTACTAATATCTGCTTAAAGTACTATCCGTATTTATCACAGTGAGCTTCGTTAAGTCTTGCCAATTAGTGTGACAAATAAACTGTAAACGATTATAATTCTTCTGATATTAATGTGCCTCAAAATATTTTCCGGACTAGAATTGATGTGGTAAATCAGTACAGTAATACCATGACTTAGATTTTAAACTAAAAAGGCACAATGGTGACAAGAATTATTAAGGTCGCTCCCAATATTAACCTGTCTTATTGTGTTGAATCAATGGTCACGGTTTTCTGTTTTTGTAGAATTTATACCGTTCACGATGAAATCAAGGACAAAAATTTTGAATTGGATCTTAGTTGGGTTGGTGCAAGTAAGTCTGTCGATCTGATAATATATACATACGTTTAGATACAAAGGGTATACATCAACCTGTTCCCCGCAAACTCTTTGATGAAGCAGAGACATTCGCCAAACAGGCCTTAGAAGAAGCTGATGATTTAGATGACGAAGTGGAATAAACTATGTACATTTATTATTTTCTAAATATAAGTTTTTTGAACCACATATCTTCGAAATTCTGCGGCGTCTCTCAAGCGTAGGTTTTCAAACCAATCTTTATAAGACGACAATCATCATTTTGGATATGGTTGTTAGCATTGCACTAAGTGTTCCCAGGAATTGATGGGTAGATATAAAACGTTTGATACTTTCTCTTTGGATGTTGGTGTATCACTATCGCACCAAGTATTTCGTCTCCCGGTTACCGTTTATGTCCCACTTACCCAGGGAGTAAGGTGTCCCATCAATTGGGGAATAAGTATGTTATTTGGCGTTTCACTTGATTCTAACTTGTCTGTAAAACACTAATACAGTTAATACTATCCGAACAGTTTTTGAAGCATTGTTCATGTAATTTCTTAACTCTTACCCATTCAGCATGATATAAAACAACCAATATTTGTTGTAGCAAGTGTATTTACTCAAGATCGCATTGGTTTTTGTGTTGTAAATGAATATACAATCACAGAGTATATCAGGAGTTTACTTTGTAGAAACAACTAGAATCAACATTACTTTAGATATTCATTATCTATAAGGTACTCCTGGAGCATCGGGGCCAGCGGTAAACGCCTAATAAGTTCATTTACAGGTTGTTTAGGGAAAGAACGATGTTGCGTGGAACGTCTGAGACATGTGCGTATAGTAACTTTAGACCATAATGAGAGACGTTTCGGCTCAGACAACCATTTACTCAGCCAGTCATTCACTAAATTATTCAAATAACTAGAATGATCACAACCCATTCGTCTCAATAGTAGAATCTGGGATATGTTTCTAGGTACTTTAGTATGTCGACTAGACTCAACATAGCATGCAATTAATATATTGAACAACTTGATTTTGTAGTCAGTTGATATTGAACGTGGCCAGTCTTGAATATTGCTTAGAAATTTCAGACCTAATTTGGCTGAAAAGTTTACAATTAGATTTAATAAACAATGTTGATGAAGCACATGAACTGTAGCAGTCATCAATACATTGGGATTAACGTTTGAGCAACTACTACTACATTCAATATCATCATCAGATATCAATGGTAAGAAATGCTGATGCACAACAGACATAAAAATTTCATGTCCAGGAATGTTGTTAGATGCTGGAAAGTAAGAAAGGAGATAAATTAATTTTTCATGATTCCCTGGAGGAAGTGGTTGTAATAATTGGCATTCGCGATAAGCATGATTTAAAAATTTGTCCATGGACCACTGAGTATCATTTAAGGGAAAAAGTTTTAAATTAGTATACAACACAGCACGTGAAATAGCAAAAGTGAATATATTATGCCAGAAGAAATCGAAAACAGATTTTGACTGCCTTACACTGTGTAATTCCAGAAGTGTTCCTAGGTTATATTCATGCTCATTAAAGTTCGCCTTAGAACAAACTTCACGCCAACAATCGATCCAATCTGTATATGGGAAACGTAAGGCTAAGACAGCGAAATATAGTACAAGCGGCAGCAAACACCTGTCCGGAACTGTATCTTTTGGACTCCGATCGATATCTGCTAAGTTCCAAATCAATTGTTTTTGGACTTCCGGTTGTTCAATACAAATCCTTGGGAATCCCCATTGAGACAGGACTTGCAACCAAGTTCTAGCAGATGACGGGGGTGTGTATAATCCCAACTTTTGCAAGCGATGAATACAACTGAAGTTCTGACTAAATGGAACGACTTTTCTTAAAAAGTAGGATGAAATACGCATTAAACAAAGAGATACTTCTTCTTGATGAATAGACCAACGTTCCACAGCATCTGACCCCAAGTAAATAAAAAATTCTTCAATCCCTATTATTGATGGTTCTTTCTACATGGCAATAATAAATAACAAGTAAAGCAACAAATTTATTTAAATTTACATAACTATTGCAATTAAATTATACAATATGCTCTAAGAGTTTATAAATTTACTCTTATCGAACTTCATAATTGTTTCATTTGGAAAGGACACTGTATTTAATGTTATTGCTTCGATATTGTTTCCTTGTTTTAAGTAATCTCTTTCCTATTACATCAGTACCCAATAAAGTACTATTTAATAATTTGAATTTCGACTTTCAAAGAGCATCATCTCTATATTTTATTTAGGCTTAATATTATTGGCTGGTAACACAAATAGGGGTGTACTTGACAATGTATGTTGCGCAAAACAACTAACATACTTCCTTAAAATGCACCGAGTTTGTAATTTAATAACTGTGCAAGAGCTTACTCAAAATTAAAATAAAAAACAGGTCCAAAATGCAGAGGTAATGTAACAGCAGAATGTTGCTGTTGGAATGAAAGTAGATTAACATTATCCTATGTAGAGTTAGTTTTCCAATCAGGCAAGTTGTTGGTCCGTTGTTAGAATCTGTCAAAACTATCATGCTGTAAACGTTTACGAGTGGCTAGAGGTGAATGAATAAAAAAGCGACCATCAAAACGGCAAGGTTAAGCAATTACTGACACTACGTTGACAATGTATGAAAATCAGATCGATTATTGAAACTTACTTCAAGAACAATGGCACAAATTTCCTCAAATTCACTTAGCATGTATGGGACAGCATGAGCCTTTAGGAGCCTGAAATAAGCTAAAGATATTGAGAGGTCAGTATGCAATGCTAAAATCCAATAGCGATCCCGGCGTAAACGAAGAAAATTTATGTCGAGTGCATCCAGGACGTTAGCGGTTAACTAACATGGTTTTAATAATGTTTTAGTATAATGTGAACACACCTTCACGTTATCTTGACTTAAAGCAGCCACCAGAGGAGGCACATCATCCGCACACCGATAATCTGTTTCTGCTCCTGCACTTATTAGTAGATTAAATGATTCATAATCACTTTTCTCAACGGAAATGGTAAGAGCATCTTTACCCTTTAAAAGATGTTTATTAGTATATTAACTTACCATGAAATTTTTACGTTGAACTTCCGTTGCGCAGTCAAGATCCTTGCGAGCTTGTAGAGCAGAAATGCATATTTTAACACACTCCCATGAACCAGACATAGCAGCAAAATGAAGTGGCATATTGCCCTGTTAAATAAAGACAAACTTCCCGACTTACATCAAAGTCAGGAAGATTCGCCAAACCTGGATCCCCAGATAAAATTTGTAGTAACATACTGGGGTCCCCAGACAATGCTACTCTGAAAATAGTATGTGCAAATTCCATTGCTAAAAGAGCATGTATATTGTTTGACAGATTACACTCAATGACTACTGGATGACTAAAGATAAGTTGTGAATATATAAATTGAGAATTTCATCACGAAACGAATCTGAATAGAACAAAGTAAAAAGAAATAGAAGTACATGCATTTTATTGAAGCATCTCAAAAATAATCAGTTAATGCCTAGAATCTATTTGTTTATGATTAACTGATTGTATTTTCAGGTGCTTACAGATGGTGATGTTCGAAATCTGTTATCTTGAGGACATCGACTATCATATATACCATCAAAAGCATAATTTCTAAAATTTTAATGTAGCTTACTATCCAATACACTTGACTTTGAACAACAGGTGTGTGAAACTGGATTAGAAAATGCGACCCATTGGTCAGAGATCGAGTGTATTGGTAAAACATAAAGCCCACCAGCAGAGATAAGTTACATTTTCAACCTAACCTTTCTACCGCCTAATTTATGCAGCTCCTACGCGAACTAACACCTATTAAGAGATAATGATGACATAAAGGGCAAAATGATGTGAAAATGTGGATTTCAGGACGAAGAAGCAGATTATTGTTTCACTCTAGCTGCCATTGTTTTGGACGCAAATAACACTAGATGAGTCGTACAATCAGTTCAAGACGTTATATGAACGTGGTATTAAGTGCTAGCACAACAAAACTTTAAAGTTGCCTAGTTAGAAGATTCGACCACTTTAAGCCGTCAGTGCCTATTACAGAAACCACTACACATCAAGCATGACAGCTTCCAATTGAAAAAAGCTTTTTTTAATATACTTCGACCTCTTCAGAAAGCTGACCCCTCCATCTTGGTGTGTATAGTTTACGTATATCGCGTTTTCCGTGTATAAGCAATCATATGTCAGCAGCTATTAATAACCGTGAGGCACATAAGATTTTCCAGAAAAGACTCAGAAATAGCATATCGACGGATGTAGATACTCAACATGTTCAACTACAAGCCAACCGATTTTATTCCATAAAAGTTACGAACTGACTCACCTTTTTACTCAAACACTAGGACAGTTCTTGCCTATATGTCTCGGAATTTCGTTACATACTGCTGATCAAACCCAGGGTTGACAAGTTTGCCCCGGAATACGTTTATTTCTACAAAATAAGTTGAGATTTCCAACTTTAGAAAAAAACACGTTCACTTCGTTTTACTACTGAACGTGTTGTCTTAAATCTAGTTATTAAAAGCTATCCTAGCATAAACTTTCAGCTTGAGTTAAATGGCATGGTGATTGACATTTCTATAGAGGTGACTACTTTAGACATTTTGAATCTCATGAGAACCTCACCTTAAAAACCTATGACAACACAAACTTCCTGAACAATGAGTATTCCCCAGACTATGATCAAAGAGGTTTTCGATCAAAATTTTCTATGACAGATATGATAATATAGTCTTCTGTCTTGATATTTCACTTGGGTATAAGTTTAGGGGCAAGGTGTTTTGATTTCTCAGACTAGGATTGACATTACGGTTGGGCTCTCCTTGCTGTGGTCCAAACAATATGTTCCGTTTTCCAAGACCTTTGTTGTCGTGACGTTAGCTTGGTTTACTCCGGCCAACCAACAGAGCCTTACTTGACACATCATGAAGCCTGTTGGGAATACTGTCCCATTATCTGTCTATTTAATTTAGCACACCAGATGCAAGTTTTTTATCGCATAATAATCTCAGTTGTGAACATGTTAAAGATGAGCAGAGCGCGACTACTGGTATCAATAGAGGAATGTGCTTGATACTTCAGACTGTTCTATGGTCACATATGAGATAAAACCTAGCTTCAATGGCTTTGATATCATTATCA